CCCCTCACACACCCAGCGAGATCCAACCTTTTCCTTTTAAAACCATCCTCAATAGCTAAGGTCCGGTCCAAATCAGTCTGTGCATGATGAAGTAAATCATGATGCACCGATGTAGGGTCCCTCTCAAATTCAATCTCTGCCTGATCGATCCTTGTTTTAGCGTTCCTCACCCGCTAAAACACATTACTGAATACTTGTTGATTCCACCACCAAAGCCCTTGTTTCAGCCTAAAAAACTTTTCCCTGAGAGTAGCCCATTCCTATAAGGTAAGTAGGGAGTGGCCACTTCTGAGATACAAAGGGTGAGAAATTATGATGCTTAGTTCAAACATTTAGGAACCGAAAAGGTCTAGGTCCCAAATCTTCATCAGAAACCCATTGTAACAGCAGTAGTGAATGATCAGATGAAGTGTGATTGAGATGTGTCACAGTAAGTTGTTTGCAAAATTCAACCGTTATAGAGTTTATCAAGACTCTATCCAATCTATTACTGGCTCTACCATTTGTCCAAGTGAACTGAGACCTAGTAAAATCTGCATCCTCTAAGCCATAGTCCATCATCATATCAGAGAAGTCATTAGAGCCACCATCTCGCCTACTATGACCAGTGCACTCACCCTCATGAGCAATAATATTAAAGTCTCTCCCAACGAGCCAAGGATCATCCATGGAGGGAGAATTGTGGCTGCCCACAAATCTCTCCTAATTGAGGCCTCACAAGCTGCATATACTGGTGTTAAATAAATAGGCCGTGCTAATCTGAGGTCCATAACTCTAATATGCAGGAACTATATCTGATCATCAATAATAGTAATGGTAGTACTCACATTCCAGAAGATCCAAATCTTTTTCGATTCATTATGTGCCTTGGCGTCGAAGTGCAGGTATTGACGAACAAAATCAAAATTCTTCTCCAAAACCATAGGCTCTAAGCTGATCAAAATATAGACCTGATGAAGCTAGATAAGTTTCTTCAGGCGTTTGTGAGTAGCTAGCTATACTAGCTACACCATTCACATTCCAAATGATGATACTCATCGAGAAGTGCGTGAAGAGGTATCCTGTGACCGATTCCTAGTCACCATCTTAGTAAGTGAGGTGTCAATGACTTTTAAATTTCTCTTTCGACAAACCGGGACAAAGCCATTTTCCTCTGTCCTATGAACCATACCTGCCAAGTCATCAGAAGAAGATCTACGATATGGACCTTGTTGTTGAACTTCAATATGAGGTAAACCTTCTGAATATGATTGATCTATAATAAAAGACATCCCTATGTTCTGCTGATAGTGTATAGAGTTAACAGGAACATCTGGACCAATAGAACCCTGTGGCCTCTCTAACATATCCACCAGGAGAGGATCAAAGTATGTAAAACTACCACTCATAGGATTACTGGTGATGGAGACCGGAGACTTAATAACTGGAGAAATAGTTGCTGTGACAACTGCCTATCTCTGGGTAGCAACTGAGGTATGTTCTGATGGAGAAGTAGCAGGAATTTGTGTGACAATAGTGCTAATACTCGGTGGAGCAAATATAAAGAGTAGGAGCCATATGTGGAGTAACTTTTTGTGATAAAGTAGCTGTAGTGATGGATATACTGGGGGCAATAGAGTGAACACTTATAGAAGGATGAGTAGTAGACTGAGTAAGCACAAATAGTTAGGATTAACAACAATTGGAGCAGTAGGAAGTAGTACAGGATGTGAACCTTGAGAGCGATTCTCGTCTAAGTGACCAAAGTGTCTATATCGAAAGCGAAGTCTGGTACCTTATCATATACCATGGGCTGCCAATATCCTCCCATCTTCTCCTTCTCTATCCACTCTCTATCAGGGAATTTTCATTCCAGGTCCACTTTAATACATACTCGTGCTTCACTAGGTCGTCGTAGATCAGAAGTGGCTTCGTCAATACAAAGTGGGAGCCCAAAAACCTTAGCTATGGAAAATAGTTCACTCTTAGCCTGAAAATGAATAGGAAGCAAAAGAAATGACACCTAAATTGGAGCGATAGGATCCTCATGCTGTAGATTAAAACTGAGAGACCATTTGAAGACCCACATAGGACAACCATCAATATACCAAGTGGGTTTGAGGAATAATCGTGAGTAATCATCCTAATGCTCCATATAAATGATAATGTGCATCATCAATAAGACCAATCTCATAATCACCAATAAAACCAAAGCGCATAAAATTTTCACGTACCTTGGTCATCGAAGGTTTACGATGCATAAATTTATCTACAAGTGTAAATCTATAGGCCTCTGCCAGAAACTGTTTATCAGATTCGTCAAAGAAGATAGCATGCTCACCATGATAAATGTATGGTTCCTTAGAAACCAAACTGTGATCTCTAGATTTCTGTGGTGCACCTAGTCCATTAGCAAATGATTTTTTCCTGCTCCTTTCAACCTGAGTAATGTTTAGTCGGTTGTAGACTGCTACAGCATAGGACCGTCGAACCCGAGAGTGCCCTGAGTACCAGTAGAGGCAACAAGTGAGCTAGAGGAGTTTGGTGTTGTGAAATTGCTCAAAGGAGGCCGCGCTTGATGGCCGCGCGTCGGAGGACCAGTGGTGCATAGGGCGGCGCATGGAACAATGCCCGGTGCTGGGCCAAGTTTGGTCGCAACATTTTTGACCTGTTAGGTATGATTCTGATGAGCATTAGTATTCAAAGAAGTTGCAAAGTCCGTATGTAGTTTGATTCGGGAAGAAGACTCAAAGTTTGTAGTGAGATTTGCCAAGCTATTGACATGAGACTGGAGCACCGAAGGTGTATTGGCTCGAGTGGTATTGACTGGTGGTGTTGCTTTGTCCCTATTAGAAACCACATCATCGAAATTTGGATCTGAAGAGGGCTGAACAATTGAAACTTGTGCTGTCAAATTGGGGTTCAATTGGTCTTCATTTCTATTAATTGGATGGTTAACCATCATCTTAGGACTTCAATTGCAATAATGTTGTTAGAATTCAGTGCAATACCTCCAGAAAAATCAGAAATTGGATCACATAAACCTTCACCCGCACTGGCGTTCATGGTTAGCGTTCAATCCAGAAATTGAAGTGTTACTTGGCTCAATTGGTTGATGAACCATGCTTTTTCTAGCATCAATTGATGTTTTGTTATGTAAATTTAACAATTGGACTCACATATCTACTGTTTATATAACACAAACGAGCATACCAAAAATTTACTGATGAAAGCATATAAGCAGAAGTAGATGCTATTTTATTATTCTCAATATTCAATTTAAACATTCCATCATAATGATAACATTTACCACAAATAAACCCTTTTTGGTATCAAATATTGATAAAATTCCATAGCCTGTCTAAAACTAGCCCCATTAAAAAGAAAACTTGACATCAAATTCTTTCTTATTAACAACATATGTAAAACATCTGTCAAAGTTAGCACACATCCAGAGGTGAATTTTATTTCAACTTCACCACTTTCAACAACCTTGTTTTTGCTAGAACCACCAAGCATGATGGTTTTTTTCTTCCTCAAATATAGTATGGTCTTAGACCTATCTTCATCATAGCAGACATTCTTATTAGTACTAGAATCTTCCCACCATCCTTTAACACACTGTATCATGTTAATGTCAGTAATTGTTGCCACAAGTGGCTCTTCGATTACATCAACTTGAGGAAAAGGTTATTGTTTTCAGAATATGCAATTTCGAGCAATATGCATACTTTTGCCGCATACAAAACATGCATTATAAATTTGATTCTAAGAAAGGGGCCTTAGATTTTATATTTTTAGTTCGGGTTCTCCCAATTGCGAGGTTTACCATTAATTTTCATAATTTTCTTTCTTGGCTTAAACTGACTATTTCTAGGAACCTAATTATTAGAAAAGTGATTATTTGTAGCAATTAAAGTTACATTTGTTCCAGAATGTTCATTGCTTTCTTGTGTTGTCAATGCATCTTGGCCTCTAGTTTTTTTCCTTTACGTAGACGTAAATGATCAAGATCTCTAGGGACGTCTTTTTCTGCCTATGGCGCATTAACTTTTGGAACTCTTTCCATGATGGCGATAGTGTGTCAATGATTTTAGTACAAAAAGGTCGTCCCCAATATTGATACCTTCATATATAGCGTTTGCAATAATCATTTGAAAATCTTGTGCTTGTTCTGCCACAAAAATTTCATCCACCATTTGATAGCTGAGGTATAAACTAGCAGCGTATATCTTTGCACTAACTTTTTGAGTATCATATTTATTCTGCAAAACTTTCCACATTTTCTTTGTAGAGGAGTAAGCAGAATTGTAATAATCATAAATATAATGCTAGGTAATTCATGATATAATACAAATAATTATACTCATCTTTATTATATTGTTCTACCTTCCCTTAATGAATTGAAGTTCCTCTCCATCCATATTGTCGATAGAGACCATGTTTCGATTCTTCATACTGAGGATATAGGAGACTTTGATAAGATCCGGGTAAAATAGGATTTTGCTCTTCCACTACTTAAAATAGGCTTCTTTAAAATAGAAAGGTTTGTTAAGATCTCCGACATCAATGTGCTTTCTTGAGTCCTAATTCCATTTATTTGAATCTCCTTAAAATTGTTGAAGAAGTCCCAATAATGGAAAAATGGAGTTCCAAAATAAATAGGAGTAGAATGAAATCAGACAGACTGAGGAGCGGATATCTTGCTTTCTTTAAGGACAACCCACTGCGATGGGAAAAGCCTATAACTTGATGTAACGGAATTTCTCTATGCCTTATCTCGTTTAGGATACAATCGCTCGACTATCCGTCGTATAACTCAAACAAACTCTGCACAAATAGTTGAGTCCAAAGCTTTAACTAAAAATTACCATTCTTTGCTCAATAATCTCTTGAAGAATGAGTGAGAATGTAAAAAAAGAATACAAGATAATTGTGATTGTTGGGATTGTTGTGATGGTGGATAAATTATCAAAGATAGTCTATTTATAGGTAAATGTAGACCACACAAAATAAAGAGGTGTCATAAAACACAAGATGGTTACATGTCTATACATATTCAACTTTTTACCTTTCAGTTTTCAAATTTCCAGAACCGCCCAAAAAACCTATTAAATAAGAATTCAATGAATGATTAAAATATTAAAATACACCAACAGCCAATGACTACCCTATTTTTTTTTTTTTTTTTTTTTTTTTACACAATTGACAATCTTGGTGTTAATTTTCACGACAAATGGTATCAGAGCATAGAGATGTGTAAACTTTTGAGTAGATACCAACAAAGAACGGATCTGTGTATAAGAATAAACGGAAACCATGAAGAGACAGTTGAAAATGAAACAAATCGAACCTTCAAACTAATTTTCGACCAATCCAGAGACCTGGTGGAGAAATCAAGACCATATTCCAACTTCTGAAGTTGAGTCGCGTACGATGATAGAGATGCTGGTATGTGAAGGCCACGTGTAGAGGACTTAGAGGCGCTTTTGGGGACATATGCACTATTCTGGTGACGATCTCTTCTGATTGTTTGTTCCTGGTGATATTGAGGACCCTTAGATGGTGTTTGTTTTCAGTTTTAAATAATCTATCAATCATATAACATTTAAACATGTCATTGACGTTCAATTAAAAACAATGGGCAATGGATATTCATCTCTTCTTAGTTCTTACAATGGCAAAAAAAAAAAAAAGGCCAGTAAGCCAACATAGGTTTCGGGATAGGTCATAGGTATTAATGTATTATTTTATACACAAATTTAGCATAAAAATCATCCATACAAACTCTAAGAAAATTTGTATTCTATTTCTCAAACACAACCCATTCTCAAATCTCAATAATCCATATGATATGATATTAAGTACTAAAAAATATATATAAAAAGTGGTCTAAGCTACAAAATGCAAGAAACTACATTTAAAAATGGCAAAATCGAAAATACATACTGTTGGGCATTGGCTATGGACCGCTGGCTAAATGGCTTCTATCATCTATTGATCGAAACAGTCTAACAGATCGAAGAGGAAGAAGAATGAAGCATGGGTTTGGGGAGGATTGAGGAAGCCAATGGGTTAATGGAAGTGGTTTTATCATTTATGTTTGGGTAATGGGTTTGGTTTATATGGTAATTGTATTGAAATTAAAATTTTGTTTGGGCCAAAACTATGGAGTTGGGTTAAGACTCAGGTTTCATTCTTTTTCTGGCAATTGGACATAGGCTGGTAGCTGGAAGGACCTGGGCTGGTAGCTGAAATGAAATGGGCTTAATAAAAAAAAAGAAAAAGAAAAAAGAAAGTGGACCACTTGGATATGGGCTTGGATGAACATCAACTGTGCCGATAACTTGTATATCTCTCTCACCTAGGGATGTCAATGGGCCGAGCCGGGCTCAACCCATGAAAAAATGAGCTCGATTCGTGCTCGCCACGAGCTGAGCTCGTGCTCGCTTATGAAACGAGCTGAGCTGAGCTCGGCTTGTCCAAAAAAGGGCGAGCTCGGCTTGGCCCATGACCTCATGGCTCGTGGGTAGCTCGTGGGCCGAGCCGAGCCGAGCCGAGCTCGGCTCACAAGTAGACGTTGTTTTTATTTTTATTTATTTATTTTTTTGAGAACAAATAGGTAATTTGAAAAATAAAAAAGTAATTTTTTTTAACTAAAAGAGATAGAAAAAATAAATATGAAAGCTTTAATTTTTTTATTTTTCTTTTTAAAATAGATTAAATATAAACCCTCATTCTTTATACGAGTTTGGGACCAACTACTTAAATTTTCAGTAGGCGGAGTTAAAAATTGTGCACAAACAAGTTTTTGTAGCGTGTATAATTTTTTAAAGAAAATTAAAAGTCATAAGAAAAGAAAAGTTTCATCAATATAATTAAATCAAATATCACTTACTTGACGACATGCAATTTCGGCATATTTATCTTGTAGTCGAAAATGAGCGTCCTGTAATCCTTAACGCACATTAACGCTTCTAAAATATCTTCTTTCAATCGGCTCCTGACCTCGCTCAAAACTCTTTTACCTGCACTAAAAGTAGACTCTGAAGCAACAGTGCTAATCGAAGGTGTCAGCAGATCTTTTATATTTGCAGATATAACTGGCTAACGTCATTCATACCTTCTCCAGAATTCAATTACTTCATCTGAATTTTTTTAATTGTTTTATCTGTTGACATATTCTGGTTGAAATAATCAATTAATTCAGCAGGCAATACATTATGGCTTGAGCTCGTAGATGTATGATGAGAATGAGATACATATGGTGATGACATGGCAGTGACAGTGGTAGTAGATGAACACATTGCAGATGAATCAAATCTATACGAATTAATGCCTTGAAATAAATTAAATATTTCCGCATCTTCTTCTTCAATTTCAGTGGAAGAAGTAGGTGCAGATGGTACCCGACTAATATTGGTACCCATTCGGTTCGCATATAATTCATACATTTCACATAATGTTTGCTCTAAATTTCTATATGTGATAGATGTATTAAATGTTAAAGCGTTTGAAATTTGATCAATTATATATTTAATTCCCGATAAATTATATCGGGGGTCCATCACGCATGCTAAAGGAAATAACATAGGCAAATCTTCCCAATATTTTCTAAATTTTAATTCCATAACAATTATAATTTCACTAAAATCAAGGTCATTTCTGTATTTATGAAATGTTCTTACAATTATATAAAGACGTTCAAGCACCATACAACTGATGGGATAGTAAACGCCCGATAAAATCTTAATGATTTCATAAAAAGATGTCAAGAATTTTTTAACTTTCAAAGCTAAATACCAATCACGTTCAGTCAGCATACCCTCGTCATCACTTCTAACATGTCTATTGTTATAAAGGTTAGTTATTAAATGTTCAAAACCTTCACATGGCTTTAATAACAAGTAAGTAGAGTTCCACCTATGACCTACGTCGTTAACAAATGTTTTAGTATTTTGCACTCCTATTTCGGCACAATAATCTTCAAATACTTGTTTTCTACTTGGAGAGATTGTGATATATATTAGTGCGTTCCTAATATTTTGAAGTTCATCCTTTATATATTTTAAATCATCTTGGACAATTAAATTCAAAATATGACATACATAACGAATATGAAACAAATACCCACCAAAATCAGGTTGTAGTACCCTATGCAATTTTTTAGCAACTACTTTATTAACACTAGCATTATCGAAAGTAAATGAACGAATTTTACCTTCGCAATGATATTCTCTAACAATACTAATAATAGCATTATTATTAGCGTTGTGAGGAAACTCAATAATTCTAAAAGCAATAATTTTTTTATGCATGCACCAAAGTGGGTCTATATAATGTGCAGTTGCAGCTATATATGCTCTTTTATTAATTCCTTCCCATGTATCTGAAGTTAAAGATATAACACCCCCATATTTTTGCAAATCCATAATTAATTGTTGTTTTGTTGAAGTAAAATACTGTATTGTATTAGAACGAAGAGTGTTTCGATTAACACCAACGTACCTTGGCTGCAGATATTCTTTCACATACAAGACGTAGTGTTGGTTGTCAATTAATGCTAAAGGCAACTCAGCACCAGTAACAAGCTTCACCATTCCGGTTCTAGCTTTCTACTCCGAATACACCCATGTGGATAGGGGTGCAGTATAACCACCGGCGTCTAGACTGCCAAATTACAATCGTGTTTGACAGCCTGGAATAAGTCCGTGTTTGGCCACACATACTTTGTAATGACGGTTGAGATGGGTGGTACCAATTCCTTTTTGCCATGCCAATCTTTGTTGGCAGTATTTACATACTGCTTTGGATTTTTGGACTCCAGTGACGATTTTTCCCGTTGAAATCAACTTAAAGTGATCCCAACATTTTGCTTTTTTTTCCCCTTTCGCTTTCCTCTCGCATCAGGAATGTTTAATTCAACCTCTTGTTCCTGATCGCGTTCCTCTTCGGGAACGTCAACATCATCCAAATTAATTGGATAATTTGGATTGTCGCTTACATGATGATGAAGATCCAAATCTGGAATGTTTTCAGGTAGGGGTATGTCATTTAGATCTTCAAATTGATTCTGAAATTGACTTTGCGGTGTCATAGGTGATTCGTTTCCTCCCACACCGAACAAGTTTTCGACAAATGAGCGTGGATCCATTTGTTTAGTTGTAATAAATAATAACTACTAGAAGAATAATTGTATAAATGTAGTGAGAAATGAAAATTGGATGAAATTTCAATAAATATAATGAGAACTGAGAATTGGATATTGTATAAATTGTATATAAAAATTGTAAATTATCAACACAATACAAGAAACTTGAGAGAAAAATAATTGAGATTTGAGAGAATTGTAAAAAAATTTGTGACTAGATGCCACTATTTATAGAAGAAAAGGAAAAAAAAATTTAAGGACCAAAACGGTCACTGAAAAAATTCAGTGACCGTTAACGGTCAAAAAACAGAAAAAAATTAAATGAGGGACTGAAAAGTCAATGACCGTTTCGGTCAGATTTCCAAACGAGCCGCTCGCGGGCTCGTCGTGAGCGGCTCGTTTTTTGTGCGAGCCGAGCGGGCTCAGCTGGCCCACCGAACCGGGCCGTTCGGCTCGCGCTCGGGCTCGTGTTTTTACGAGCCCGAGCAGCCCACGAGCTCCATTTTTGCAAGCCGAACGGGTGAGCCGACGAGCCGCTAGGCCCATTTGCCACCCCTACTCTCACCCTCTTTGAGTTTCAGAGCATCCTTGGTCAAGAATCTTGCTAGATTTAAGGAGGTGAGATAAAATAGCATCTAGAGATGGAAATTTGCCCCGCCCTGCCCTGACGAAGCCCCATCCCGAATGGGATAAACAAACCCGCCCCGACGGGTTGATGGGGCGGGGTAAAATTCCTCGCCCCGTCATGGGTCACGGGGCGGGACTATCCCGCCACGTGAATATTAAAAAAAAATAGTATTTTTTTGATATTATTTTTTCGAGTGTTTCTTTGAATATTGATATTAATTTGAGCATTATTTATTTTGAATTTTTAAATTTTGAATTTGTATTTTATAATTTAATAGTATAACTCTAAATTTTGAAAATGTGTATATATATAAAAAAAATTAAATGGGGCAGTAAACGGGACAAAAAACTGCCCCGAACCCGGCCCGCCCCGTTTAAGGTGGGGCGGGGTGGGGTTGGGGCGAGACGGGGCGGCCCCATTGCCATCACTAATAGCATCCTCTATTGTCATTTTTTGAAATTCAACTCATTGAATTTCTTCGATTTCTCCTATGTATAACAGGAACTGTTAAACTAGGCCAATTTGTTCCGAGCCATTGACTAGGTCATAGCATAACTTGGCAGTTGAACTACAGTCAGAGTCACAATGTGACTTGACAATTGAGTCAACAATTTGTTTTTCAGTAACTATATACATATTGGTTAATCTAGTTACCATTTCTGAAACACCTAACAATTATTAATTTCCTAGTTCAAACAAAACAAAATCGATTTTTTATTTTCGCATCATTTTAAGATTTTCAGTAAAATTATAATAGAATATAATATGTTAGAGAAATAACAAACTAAAATCGAAATTGAAAAAAAAAGATCACAACTAAATAGCATAACAAAATAGCCAATTGATGCCTCTGAAAACACAATTTATATCCTTAAAATAGATTCACCATCTCACTATAAGTGCTTGAAGTTTTGTTGACTCCCAATACAATTGATAAACCAGTACTAATTTTATTTGAACATTATCATCAAGACTTGGATATGGACACATGAAACGATTAAGGAATATATTTTGGAATAAAAAAATTTGTGTTTGGAACCGATGAAAATGATCACTCTTAAAGTCTCTAATGAGTGACTTATTAAACCATTAATTAGCATTAGTCTAACAAATAAACCCCGTGTTTAAATAAGCAACAAACCGCAGGAGTTTAGGAGCTGAAAACTATGGAAGGATAGTTGAATATAAATAAAAGTAAATAGAAACCATGGATCCTACCGAGAGACCAAATTTCAATTTGTTATTCGCGTACGCATGTCACATTTGCACATAAGTTCAATTGCCTTCTCATTTTTCCTATATGAGACAAACTATAATTTTGCTTTCCGTCTGACAACCACTTCCAGTGAGTATTTATTGATCTTTAATTTATCATTCACACGAGCTTCATTTTGGTTAGTAAATATATGATTTCGATGTTTTTGCAGAGGAAAACACAAATCTACTTTGATCTTCCAAAGAATATAAATGAATCACACTCAAAATTATATCAAAAAAAATAAAAAATAAAAAAAAAAATCATTTTCCAACAAGCAATACTGCAATAATGTGATTTAATGCTGGCAAAAGGGTAGCGGGAATGTGGTGGGTTGCTTAGGGAAGTTGTGGTGGGGATGGATTATAGCATAACATTATTGACCAACGTAATCTTTATTGACTTTTATTTCTCTTTTCTTTTCTCCTTTTTTTCTTCTTAAGGAAGTCCAATCCAATTCTCTTGTTAAGGTAGTTACATTGTCATGCCATTCCACCACTTCTTAATCGTATTAAAAATTATTCTTTGCTTATTATCATGCTGAAGTCCTATAATTTTTTCATCACATTTTAATATTAAACTTTAATGAATTAGCACATTTTGTCCTCATAACATATTTTGCTCAAAAAGTCCATTAAATGGTGTAAAAATACTTTATTTGCCTTTCATAATTTTAAATAAGAGAAAAAACAATAAAGAAAAAAATTAACGCAAACTATTAGAATACTATATATAAACAATTTTCGAAGACAAAATGTGCTAATTAATGAAAGATTAAGAATAAGATTGCGATGAAATAATGTAGGGACCTACGTGCGCCAGTAATAAAAGATTAAGGGCCTTGTTTACTACAATTAATAAGTGATAAAACAAAAGAAAAATGCCGTTTCAACATAAATTACCCATGGTAAAAATGAAGTACTGCTTTAGAGACATTGTAAATCCTCTAAACTGACCCTGGTAGAATCTTATTCACATTATTTTGACAGTGTGGTTTCTTGTACTGACTTTATTTATTTAACGTAAAATATTTGGATGCTTGATTCAAATTGAATCTAGTCCACTAAAACATTATCACCAATGAATGGTATATGTTGCATCCACACGACCTAGTCACTTGCACTTGCTGAAGGCTATGGACCGCATGTTTGTCAAATAAGGTTCTATAGCCAATTAAGTTCATTAGCAACACACGTTCTAAGTCTGCACAACAAAGGGACCACCTCAAGTGTACCATATTTGAATGTACAAATCCATCTAACTTGACATAAAATAAATCCATAATTAAGAATAGCAATCTCTATTAAAACAAACGATTGATGTTTTCATGTGAATTCAATTTTCTCTTCTTAGTCATTGGGTTTCAACAAAGTACGTGAATTTGGCAAAGGAAGCCATCTACAATTTGATTTTACTACACTACTCTAAATAATAGCTGATCAAATTAACACAATGGAACTGAGTGACAATGAACGAAATTCACAATATTGTTTTGAATTTATAATCAGTGAAAATCAGAACAACATAAGACTCTATATAGAGAACCCGAACTAATGGCAAGAGCCGGAAATAGATAGTTTTGAAGAAAATCACATTCACTAAGCTATAGTCATAGTGGTTCTCGTATTCAACTATTTCGACCATTTTCGACCACCTAATATTATTTTCGAGGCTTACGAATATTCTATTATATCCCCATGGGTAGAGACAATATTGCTAAGATAATAACCTTTATAAGAATAGGTAGAAAAAAGCTCGATATCTCACTATTGTAGAAGGTAGGTCAAATCTATGTAAATACAGAATTAGTCTAAACAATTTTTCTTTATTTCAAACCCCCATAACATATACTCACATACACGTGGCACATTGACATAGTTATAGGGGATAGTATAAGAAACCGAAAATTGCCTGCAAATGCAAATGCAAAAGTTCCGAGTTAGTTTACCTTCAAGAATCCAGTTAATACAAACTTTAACTTTAATAATACTTTAAGTAAGGGAAGTTTGTGTTATTCAGCAATCTAATAAACTTCATAGGGGTAGGTATGTTTTACTCAAACTCGAATTACGGGAGGCTTGTGTATTTATTGAAAACGATTGAGGTTTCATGGGAGATATCAATTATTCAAACTTGAAATAAGGAAGGTTTTTGTAATTTTGGAACCCAGATGATGTCTCTAAACTTGTTGAAAACCTAAGGGGAAGTCTCAAATTTGACCTAATTTTATGGTACTCGTTCTTGACATGCAACTTGTTCTACGAGTGAGTTGTTAGTGTGGGGTGGCACGCTATGCTAGGGCCTTTGGAATGATGCAATATGGATTAAAATATCTTCATTTCATCCCCAATTTTCCCATTTCACTAATTTATTATTTTTCTACCTATCATATTTATTTTACTGTGATGTAAATTAAAAACAGAAAACAATTAAAAATAAGAGTTGACACGAGGATGTGTTTTCAAATATAAATTAAATTTAGAAACTTAAAAAAATAAAAAAAAAAAAAAAAAGAATCAAGGTGGGTACGGATTTTTAATTACAATATAAGTTTAAGGACATAAAAATAAAAATAAGTTGACAGGGAACCGGTCCCAGCCCCGTTTCCCAATCCTCTATGTCGACGCCACCTACTATTAGGATATTCGTGTTTAAACAAAAGCTTAGAGAAGCTTTATTAATTCAATATATTTATTTAGTTACTATTTTAATTTAATTTTTTTAGTTATAATATAAAGAAAATTATAATATAAACTATTATATTTTCCCAACTCTTTTACATTATTGTGTTATTATTTAATTTTATCAGGACCTACGATGTCAAATTACAAAGAGTGAAGATGTACTTGAGTTTCAAGAATAAATGTAACACTTTCGTATGAACTTGCAAGCCAATCTTGTGAAACAACATTGCATAGCAAACCTAAATTGAAACAAGAAGAAAACTTCCTAGCCTAGAAAAACCAGACTTGCAGTAATGCATGAAATGTATAGGATACATAAAAAAAATTCATTTCTTTACTTACCCAGACATCACTTATAGGAAGATGATCGATGCACTAGCTTATCAGAAACAATGTGCATAGTTGGCCGATGTTGTGGATTAGAGTGTAGGCATTCAATTGCAAGTTTAAAAATGGACATCAAAGTCACCTCTTCTTCTCGAGTGGGATAAAGAATGCGTGGATCCAACAAATCTTCCATCCGTAAATCTCCGTTTGATGGAGTTGTTACGTATTGAATGTATTCGCCAGGATGCTTTCCTTTGATCACTTCCAATGCTAACACTCCAAAGCTATACACGTCACACTTTTCAGTAACCTTCATTGTGTATGCAAGTTCTACCCAAGAAATAGGGAACGAATACAATCAAAATCATGTATACATATTCCATGAATGAAATTTAGGAAAAAGAAATATTACCTGGAGCGAAATAACCATATGTGCCTGCAAGAGAGCTGAAATTGGATGAATTGCATTTCAGAAACTTAGCAGTGCCAAAATCTGAAACATGAGCCTCGTACTCTGAATCAAGCAAAATGTTGTTGCTGGATATGTCTCGATGAACAATTGGAGGAGAACAACTATGATGCATGTAAGACAAAGCTTGAGCCACGCCTTTCACGATATTAAACCTTTTAAGCCAATCCAATTTCTTGGCTTCTTCATCTGCACTTAGATTTTTGGCCAAACTACCTCTATCAAGGTATTCATAGACCAAAAGTGAGTTTTGATCATTTGAGCAGAAGCCGTAAAGTTTCACAATGTTTCGGTGCATGATTTCTGTCAATGCACGTATTTCACTCAGGAAAACTTCAAAGTTTGCCATTTCAGATGATGAATGAAGTCTTTTGACTGCTACTGTAATTATTTCAGATGAGGAATGAAGTCTTTTCCCTTCTATTTTCTTTTCTGATGAAAGTTGTGCCTTGTAAACCTTTCCACATCCTCCCTCTCCAATACAAAAAGATGGATCAAATTCATTTGTGGCCTCTAAGATGTCTTTATACGTGAGTTTTCCATTGAATACAGTGAACAAATCATCATCTACTTTCTTTGGATTCATCTTTCTGCGTTTATATAGGATGAGGATCCCAATGAATGAAAATAGAAGTAAAAAAGCACAAAGAAGTGGGGTTGCAATTATCAAAATGATTTTGTGTTCATTCCCCGTCTTTTTGCTTTTAATTCCAGGAGGGCTTTTACATGTTTGTAATCCTACAATATTGCCACACAATCCTTTGTTCCCTTGTAGTTGCTCTATGGAGACATTTTGAAAGGCTCTGCCTCTAGGAACTGGACCCTCCAACTGATTATAAGATATATCAATGTCCACCGGGCCAGACATTTCTTCAAAACTCTTAGGAATGACTCCAAAGAGGTGATTGTGAGAGAGGTTTAACATTTCCAAGCTTGCCAAAAATCGTAATTCAGATGGTATTTCTCCGGTGAGTAGATTATTACTCATATCCAACTCGGATAGATGGATTAAATTGCCAAGCTGATGAGGGATTCTCTGGCTTAAATAGTTGAAGCTCAAATTCAAGTAATGCAACTGCTCAGAGTTCACTAAATTTCCAGGTATCTGACCTATCAGTCCATTTCTAGAAAGGTCAAGGTTTTCTAAATGTGAAAGCGATCCCAATTCTTCAGGTATACCTCCAGAAAGTTGGTTATCTTCCAAATATAGATTTAGAAGTAAAGTTAACTTTCCAATTTCCTTTGAGATCTCGCCACGCAACTGGTTTGAAGAAAGATCGAGTACTTGCAGTTGACTTAAACATCCAAATTCTGGAGGAATGTTCCCTGTAAGGTTATTCTTTGCAATTTTCAGAGCTTGTAGTCGTTTGTTGCTACCCCAAACACTCAAGAGTTCACCATAGAAATTATTGCTACTTAGGTCCATGAACTTCAAATTTGGAAATACACCAAATTCTTCAGAAACATTTCCGGAAAGTTGGTTGTTATCGAACCGGAGTCTAACTAAACTGGAGCATTTTCTCAAGCTTTCAGGGATTGGACCTGAAAGTCTATTGGAGTTCACAGTAAGTATTTCTAATACTCTTCCACCACATAACTCTGGCAAATCACCCAAAAAACGATTAGAAAACATATTCACGAAGACCAGCTTCTTCAATTTTCCCAATTCACTTGGAATGGAACCAGAGAGTTGGTTTTGTGATAGACTAAAATGTTTTAAATGGCTGAGGTCCCCTAATGAAATTGGGATTTCACCTGTGAGATTATTTTCGTCCAATTCTAGGTCCTGGAGTGATGTTAACTTTCCCAACTCAGGAGGAATCGGACCAGAAAGTTGATTCGTATGGAGATACAAGGTTTTTAAACTAGTTAATCCACTCAACGAAGATGGAATTTGACCCGTGAGATTGTTTGTGCTCAATTCTAGGTCCTGGAGTGATGTCAACTTCCCCAACTCAGGAGGAATAGGACCAGAAAGTTGATTCATATAGAGATACAGGGTTCTCAAACTAGTTAATCCACTCAACGAAGATGGAATTTGACCCGTGAGATTGTTTGTGCTCAATTCTAGGTCCTGGAGTGATGTCAACTTCCCCAACTCAGGAGGAATAGGACCAGAAAGTTGATTCTTATGGAGATACAGGGTTCTCATTCTAGGTCCTGGAGTGATGTCAACTTCCCCAACTCAGGAGGAATAGGACCAGAAAGTTGATTCCTATAGAGATACAGGGTTCTCAAACTAGTTAATCCACTCAACGAAGCTGGAATTTGACCCGTCAGATGATTTGTGTTCAATTCTAGGTATTGGAGCGATGTCAACTTTCCCAACTCAGGAGGAATGAGACCAAAAAATTGATTAGAATGGAGACACAGGGTTTTTAAACTAGTTAATCCACTCAATGAAGATGGAATTTGACCTGTGAGATTGTTTGTGCTCAATGCTAGGTCCTGGAGTGATGTCAACTTCCCCAACTTAAGAGGAATAGGACCAGAAAATTGATTGGAAAAGAGAAACAGAGTTCTTAAACTAGTTAATCTACTCAACGAAGCTTGAATTTGACCTATAAACTGATTGTTTGATAAATCAAGACAGTTGAGTTCGAAGAGTTTACCTATTTGTGTTGGGATAGTTCCTGTAAAGTGATTGGTTGATAAATTGAGATAGACAAGTTTGAAGAGATTACCAATTTGAGGTGGAATGATGCCATAGAGACGGTTGAATGAAAGATCTATATAAGAAACATTTGGGAAAGCTGAGAACGGGAACTCATAGAAGAAGGCATGAATGTTTGCATTTGTAAGGTTCAGCCTATTGACACTTCCGTCAGTGCAAGAAACTCCAAACCAATTGCATGGACTGGAACTTGCTTTTGGATGGTTAGAAAAATTTGTGGAATTCTTGGTTTCAAGATTCCATGATTTTAATATCAAGTTGTTATGATTTATAAAACTAGCTTTCCATTTTAGTAGAGCATTAGCTTCATCAAACGAAGCAGAAGAAGCAAGTTTAAGCAAAATAAAGAAGAAAAATGCAAAACTGGAGTATTTTAGCATGGTTGTACTAGGATTTCTGGACAAATTATTATTGCTATGAAAGTTCAATTTATAGATTCATAATTTGTTTGTGGGGGTCGTTGGGGGGGGGGAGGGGGCAGGAATCTTAAGATTTTTAATGTGCTAAAGACTTTTTATAAGTCAAAATTTGTCCTTTAGAGTAAATATCATTTTTCATTATCAATCATTATCGGAGATTAAATCAGATTGTAGTATCCAGCTAAGATGACCTTGACCAAATAAATATTACTTAAATCACATCGTACTATTAAAGAAAAACCCCCAGTTATAACTTGTTGAAAAGTATTTATATGAATCTTGTACAAAATATATATGGGTTTTCATTTATACATTGTTACATAAAAAATATATTTATTGAAATTTTTGTCTGATGGATACAAATTATATCAGACAAAGTGGAGGAAAAAAAAGAGAAAAATAAACTTTTATTGATAATTATCTATGCAAATTACAAATTATAGAAACAAAAAGTAGATGTAGTTACATAGCTGTAAAACTGATCAATTAGTTTCAGAATTACAAATTCAATAATATATAAATATTGCTATACGAAAATAAAGGTAGAAAAAAATAAAAAATAGAAAATAAATTATTGATTTCGTGAATTTGATTGTTTTTTCTCACTCTAACCTTGTCATTTAATTTAATTTTAATACATGTTAAAATGTTGTGTAAATATTTAATGAGGTTCACCATCTATTAAAATTTTTGGCTATATATGTGATCTCACTTTTTTTTTTTTTTTTTTGCTAATAACTCAGATGTCCAAGTTTCGTCCAAATAATCTTGAGGAATGATGGCCTTCTCCCTTGGTTCACCACATAGGTAAATTGGATGGAGTCACAGTTCATACACACTTGGACTAGACATTCGTGATGCAGTTCTCCTCCATGTGGATCCTCTTATGACATGCGGACGGGTCCCCGAAGGGATGCAGAGCGCACCATAACTCTATCTTTATACGCATCGATGTGATCTCACTTTTTATCGTAATAGACATGGACAAAGTAAAAATTAGGAAAATTTATAGTAGAGGTATCAAACCTTCAAAAAATGTGTAGTTAGATCCCAAAACTTTCCTTTCTGCTATTCAAAGGGTCTTTCGTTCTAGGTGCCAATTTTTCTTAAAATTAAGATTATAATCAACATCAAAAATAATTAATAAGAAATTACTATCAACATCTCAATTAGATCAAAGTGAAAATACATCTACTTATTCCATCTATCTCAATTCAATTTAAAAAAGTATAGAAGATTTTGAAGAAAAAAATTCATGATTACAAGCAATGATATTTTTAAGCGAAATTTGAACTCTTCGTTATTTTACAACCTTTAATACATTGATGATGAAATAATTTTAATCATATCAATGTAAATTGATATTTTAAATGTTACGTCAATAATTTGTAGTTTTTGTGGCTAATTCAGGATGAATTAACATAAAATTTTTCGCAGTTTCACCGAACGAAGTTTAGATTGTACTTGTGGAGTTATCATTTGTGTTCTATTTTCGGCATAAAATTGATTTTAGCTTCCATAGAGTAATTGAATTAGATACTTGATTAACAAAGATGTGGATGATATATAATTAAACATGTAGATATAAGAAGTGAGGCCTAGACCTACAAGAATTTAACTACGAAGGTAATATTGAAAAGTACAAAATAGTGGATTCTAGTGTTAAGGTATAAATTTCACGTCAATCAAATTACGAAATATAAGGATATAGGATATTTCTCTTAACAAAATTTTACCTCTTAAGATGGAATTTTAAGTCTGAACATAATATCAGAGTCCAATATGCTTAAATAACCATTTCGATCCTATTAAGATTCAAAGTAAGCACACAGATTTTAGGATTGACGTTCTCAAACAACTAGACCTTGGGCTGTTTGATTTGGGTCGGTTTCGACTCTAACTCGAAACCAAAACCATATTAGTTGGTTTGGGCAAATTTCAACCCAAATCAATCCATTCCAACGCTTAAACGAACCAAACCAAACAAAATCGATTTGGTTTGGTTCGGTTCGGTTAATTGGTTTGGACTTTTAGTTCAAGTTAAAATTTTTTAAAAGAAATTGTCCGAGTTTTAGGCACACTTAAATTACAAGAACTAAAATAAACCAAATAATTTTATATTATAAGAACTATTGATTAAAAAATAAAATCAGGTTACAGAGATGGATCACCAGAAAACTTAAAACTTTTTTATTTTTTTTTATTTTTATGTATTATGTAGTTTGATTGCCTGAATATGGAAAAAAATGCTAAGTATAACATAATAAACTTGTGAAAGAAAATTTTAACTGCTATTACTTACCAGAATTGAGTTATAGTTATGAGATTAGAGTTTATCATTTGATTTATATTTTTGCTAAATAAAAAAAAAGGTGAACATATAAGTGGGTAGGGTTGTTCGGTTAACTAACGGTTTAAGACTTCAAATCATAACCGAACTGACCCACTATGATTTTGTTTTAAAGAAAAATAAACCAAATCAATTACCCGTGTCAAACCAACCCAAACGGACCTGAGTCTATTCAGTTTGATTGGTTTGGGTGATTTTCGGGCTTTTTTGCCCAGGCCTACAAAGAAGACATCATCGGGAGCATGTTAGTGTAAATCTCATATTGAATTACAATGAATTAACATGCAATGTATCACTGAAGATAATATTTAAATGATATATGTGGTATTATCTAACATCTCCTCAAGTGGTCCAACATTAAGTTCATGAAGTAGGAAGTATGACTTGTCCATGTCAACAGGTTATCCAGAAAGAGATTTAAAAAAAAAAAAAATTACGTGTTAGTTAATCAGATGTAGAATTTGAAAAAAGAAACTCCGTGTAAAATAGGGTAGAATATTATGTCCACTTGCTGGAGGCATTCCATAGAACTTTCAAGACTTTTGGCGTGTTAAAGATTTCACAATCAAGTCAAGATTTGTCTTTGGGGCTAATAAAAAATGCATATCCAAGTAGCATGAGAAGAGTATTCATCCCTTCTCTATTATAAAACTTGTGCCTAAAATTAAGAACCAACCTAAGTCTTAATTTTTGCAATTTAGGTCATTCAATTTTCAAAATTTATATATTGTCCCCGAGTTCCACATTTCTTTTTTCAACTTGCATCCTTTTTTTTTTTTTTTTTTTTTTATCAATTATCATTCATTTTCATCCATTCTCGTCCAAATAGCAAAATTTCTCTTAAAATAAACACGAAACATATAAAGTTAAGTATATCATTCATAAAATTACTTTGAAATATCAATTCTAATGGCCAAGATAAGTGTTTACACTTATCAAACACCTACAAACTTAATTCCTATGTTGTAATCAATATATCACTACAAAAGCTCAAAAAAATAGAAATTAACTAGAATTCTGTTTTAGACTTGTCAAATAAGTATCAAATGATGAAGTTGGCCTTGAAAATTGTAGAATCTTTTCATTTCCCTTTCTGCTCTTTAAAGGGTCTCACATTCTAGGTGCCAATTTTGCTTAAAATTAAGATTATATCAACATTAAAAATAATTAATAAGAAATTACTATCAAGATCTCAATTAGATCAAAATTCAAATACATCAACTACTTATCCCATCTATCTCAATTCAACTTAAAAGAAGTACAGAAAAGTTTGAAGAAAAAAGTTCAACATTATTAGCAATAATATTTTTGAGTGAACAACCTTTGATATATTGATGATGAAATAATTTTAATCATATCGATGTACATTGATTTTACTAAATGTTATGTCAATAATTTGTAGTTTTTGTGTCCAATCCAGGAGGAATTAACAAAAAAATTCAGCTCCTTCACTGAACGAAGTTCAGATTGTACTTGTGGCGAAGTTTTGTGTTCTATTTTAGGCATAAAATTGATTTTAGCTTCCCTAGAGTAATTGTATTAGATAGTTGATTAACAAAGATGTGTATAATATATAATTAAACGTGTAGATCTAAGAAGTGGTGCCTAGACCTACAAGAATTTAACTAGAAAGGTAATATTGAAAAGTACAGAAGAGCGGATTCTAGTGTTAATGTATAAATTTCACATCAATTAAATAACGAAATATAATGTATAGGATATTTATCTTAACAAAATTTACCATTTAAGATGGAATTTTAAGTCCGAATATAATATAAGAGTCCAATAAGCTTAAATAACTATTCGATTCTATTAAGATTCAAAGTAAGCACACAGATTTTAGGATTGACGTTTTCAAACAAGTCATCATTAGGAGCAGGTTAGTGTAAATCTCACATTGAATTACAATGAATTAACATGCAATGTATCACTGAAGACAATATTTAATTGATTTATGTGGTATCATCTATCATCTCTTCAAGTGGTCCAACATCAAGTTCATGAAGTAGGAAGTATGACTTGTCAACATATAAGTGTCCATGTCAACAGGTTATCCAGAAAGAGATTTTTTTTTTTTAAATGTGTTAGTTAATGAGATGTGGAATTTGAAAAAAGAAACTCCGTGTAAAATAGGGCAGAATATTATGTCCACTTGCCAAAGCATTCCATAGAATTTTCAAGACTTTTGGCGTGTAGAAGACTTCACAATGGAGTCAAGATTTGTCTTTTGGGGCTAACAAAAAGGCATATCCAAGTGGCATGAGAAGAGTATTCATCCCTTCTCTATTATAAAACTTGTGCCTAAAATTAAGAACCAACTTCTATGCATAGCCATATCTTGGTCCCCGAGCATAGAATCCCTTCCCAAATGGTAAATCAATACTTAAAAAGGACATAATGCTAAATAAGGAAAATAGTCAAGCTAGTAAAAGAAATTTTAATTTAGTATTTCTTAATGAACACACTGAGAAGAAAAATAATGAATGATGAACTTTCAATGGTAATTAACAATACAATTCATAGAAGCACAAGATAGATCTAGTTACATAGCTGGAAAAATGCTCCCTAATTAAATTTCAGGATTACAAATTCAAAATTTTATAAATATTGCTATATG